AATATGGTATATTTGTTTCACAAGTAGTCCACCAAGTACAAGGCGTATCATAATTCATTATATATGATGTATTATAAGGAGGGTTTTTAATATGATAATCACGTAATTGAGCTATCAAAATCTCTCCAGCAGTTTGTTTGTGGTGCTTATTTTTTTTTAATAAAGTAATAATATCATTTGTTCGCATTATTTGTTGCTACATTCTTGCAACAGTTGTACAGATTCGTAAAAATTGACCTTGTACAATACCAACACCTATAAATATTAAATATTAATAATTACAAGAAAATAAAATAAAATAATATATATATTAATATATACAGTACCACGATATCCTGGATGCAAATAATAGGCAAGTAAATGTTCATCAAAATCAAATTTCTGGATGGATTTATGGAAAATGTCGTACAAGATTGTCAGTAGAAAATTTAAATGCAATTGCTCAGCTTCATTCTTATTATATTGCCAATAATAAATCTGAATTGTCATTTTATGAAATTGGTAAATCAGTTGAAGATATTCAACAAATTTTAACTGAAGCAGATCTTTATGAAGATATTGAAGAAATAACTTTTGAACAAGTTATAGCAAATGTAGATTTAGATATGATCGATAATGATGATAATAGTATTGCATTTGAGGAAGATATTGTATTAGAGGAAACATTGAATTTATCAGAATTACAATTTTTACCAGAAGAGTCTGAGCAAAATGAAATAGAATCTAATAATGATATGTCGCAAGACTTGGATGATAATTGGTTAATAGATTTTGAAAAGGAGGATGATTATGATCCAGTTGAATTAGCTACAAAATTTTTCTAAAATTTATTATTTAGAATTTGTTTTTAGCAAAATTATATAGAAGAATAATAAATATTAAAATTAAAAATTGCATATATTCAATAAAAATTCTTTTGCGAAATTAAATAATTTTTTGCAAATTAATATATACAGATATTTTTCATTAATATCAACCTGTTTGAATCGCTTTTATATTCATGTTGATAGTGATATTAATGAGAGAACATATGGGGTCTTTGCCTTGAAAATGACCTTATGGTACATGATACCATAAAGTCATTTTCAAGGCAAAGACCCTATATAAGTGTTAATATATATAAGAGAATTTTAATATAATTTTATTATATAGAAATTT